TGAGAGGAGAAGAGAGTTTGGATAGCTGCCTGAGAGATATGTGTCTGAGTCTGTGGGATTTTACTTGCAAGGTTAGCATCAATCGATGAAAAGAAGCTATTAAATTCATTCGCCATTTCTAAATCAGATGACAGTGTAAGGCCATCCTTAGAGAGTGTTATCTGGTTGTGGGAGTGTTGTTTAGTTCCCAGGATATTAGAGATGGTATTCCATGTGCTTTTCATGTTGCCTTTTGCTTCTTTGAAGCAAAATCAAAAAGCAGCAAAAAAGCAAGACCCGGATAAACTGTGGTCCATGGATACTAAAGGAAGGAGCAGAAGCATTGTGCCTGCCACTCTCTATAGTGTATGACAAATCATTGGTAACATGTGAATTGCCAAACATTTGGAAGACGGCTATGTAGTCCCGATATATAAGAAAGGGAATAGACAGGAGGCACTAAACTACAGGCCAGTGTCCCTAACTTTCATACCATGCAAACTCATTGAGCAGCTTGCGCGAAAAAAGCTAGTGGGACATCTGGAGCGAAAGAACTTTGTAACACAGCATCAACATGGGTTCAGGGGTGGCAAGTCCTGCCCCACAGGGTTACTTGAATTCTACGACCAGACAACAAAAATCAGGCAAGAAAGAGAAGGGAGGCAGACTGCATATTTTTGGACTGCCAGAAAACCTTTGACACAGTTCCACACAAAAGGCTAGTGAAAAAGTCAGAGATGCAGGCAGGAGTGAAAGGGAAGGTACTCCATTGGATAAGGGAGTACCTAAGCAACGGAAGACAGCGAGTCACTGTGCGGGGTGAGGCCTCAGATTGGCGAGACGTCACCAGTGGAGTCACGCAGGGTTCAGTCCTTGGACCTATACTGTTAATGATATACTGTTAATGATACATAGTAAATGATATGTAAATGATCTCCCAGAGGGTATAGAATCGTTCTTATTGTTTGCTGATGATGCAAAAGTTATTAGAAGAATTAAAACAGAGGATGACAGTAGAAGGCTACAAGATGACCTAGACAGACTGAATGAATGGTCCAACAAATGGCTACTAAAGTTCATCCCGAGTAAAGGCAAGGTCATGAAACTAGGTAGTGAAAACAGGAGGCCAGACACAGGATACTGAATGGGAAATGAAGTACTTCATGAAACGGACAGAGAGAAACATCTAGGAATTTATATCACACCAAACCTGTCTCTAGAAACCCACATCTGCAGCATACGCGAGGCTGGCTAATATCAGAACAGCCTTCAGGAACCTGTGTAAGGAGTCATTCAGAACCTTGTACACAGCATATGTATGACCAATCCTGGAGTATGCGGCCCCAGCATGGAGCCCGTACCTTGTCAATGATCACTACCTACAAAATTCTCAGAGCAATTGACAGGGTTGATAAGGATAAACTTTTTAACACTGGTGGGACGCGAACAAGGGGACACAGGTGGAGACTGAGTACCCAACTGAGCCACAGGAACGTTAGAAAGAACTTTTTCAGTGTTTTGAGCCAGAGCTCAACCTCCGCAAGCACAACTAGGTGAGAACAACTAGGTGAGTACACACACACACACACACACACACACACACACACACACACACACACACACACACACACACACACACACACTTGGTGGGACGCGAACAAGGGGACACAGGTGGAAACTGAGTACCCACATGAGCCACAGAGACGTTAGAAGGAACTTTTTCAGTGTCAGAGTAGTTAACGGATGGAATGCATTAGGCAGTGATGTGGTGGAGGCTGACTCCATACACAGTTTTAAATGTAGATATGATAGAGCCCAGTAGGCTCAGGAATCTGTACACCAGTTGATTGACAGTTGAGAGGCGGGACCAAAGAGCCAAAGCTCAACCCCCGCAAGCACAAATAGGTGAGTACAAATAGGTGAGTACACACACACACACACACACAGGGGGGGGGAGCCAGCGGCCGAGCGGAGAGCTCGATGGACACGTGATCCTGTGGTCCCGGGTTCGATCCCGGGGGCCGGCGAGAAACGATGGGCAGAGTTTCTTTCACCCTATGCCCCTGTTACCTAGCAGTAAATAAGTACCTGGGAGTTAGTCAGCTGTCACGGGCTGCTTCCTGGGGTGTGTGTGTGTGTGTGTGTGTGTGTGTGTGCGTGTGTGTGTGGTCTGGGGGAAAAAAAATAGTAGTAGTAGTAGTAGAAACAGTTGATTGACAGTTGAGAGGCTGGCCGACAGAACAGAGCTCAACCCCCGCAAGCACAACTAGGTGAATACAACTAGGTGAATACACACATGAGGTCTTTACAATAGAACAAGCTTGTCACTGCGCTAGGAGAGGTGGTAGTAAACCAGGCGCCCTTGGAAGGGTTCGAAATTACAAGAGATGAGGTCAGTAGGCCTCTGTTGGATGTGGATGTGAGAAAGCTGTTTGGCCGGACGGAATCTCAGTATGGGTATTGAAAGAGTGTGCAGGAGCACTTTGCTTGCCACCCTCCATAGTGTATAGTAGGTCACTGGAGACGGGAGAACTACCAGAAATATGGAAGACGGCTAATGTAGTCCCAATATAAAAAAGGGTGACAGACAAGAGGCATTGAACTACAGTATCCTTAACTTGTATACCATGCAAGGTGATGGAGAAGGTTTTGAGAAAAAACCTAGTATACATCTGGAGAGAAGGGACTTCGTGACAACCCATCATCATGGGTTCAGGGAGGGTAAATCTTGCCTTACAGGCTTAATAGAATTCTACGATCAGGTGACAAAGATTAAGCAAGAAAGAGAAGGATAGGCGGACTGCATTTTTTTGGACTGTCGGAAAGCCTTTGACACAGTACCCCATAAAAGGCTGATGCATAAGCTGGAGAAACAGGCAGGAGTAACTGGTAGGGCGCTCCAGTGGATAAGGGAGTACCTAAGCAATAGGAAGCAGAGAGTTACGGTGAGGGGTGAGACCTCAGAATGGCGTGAAGTCACCAGTGGAGTCCGAGAGGGCTCTGTACTCGGACCTATCCTGTTTCTGATATACGTAAATGATCTCCCAGAGGGTATAGACTCATTCCTCTCAATGTTCACTGACGACGCCAAAATTATGAGAAGGATTAAGACAGAGGAGGAAAGCTTGAGGCTTCAAGAATACCTGTACAAGCTGCAGGAATGGTTGAACAAATAGTCGTTAGAGTTTAACCCAAGCAAATGTAATGTAATAAAGATAGGTGTAGGGAGCAGGAGACCAGATATAAAGTATCATTTGGGAGATGAAATACTTCAAGAGTCTGAGAGAGAGAGAGAGAGAAAGACCTAGGGGTTGATATCACACCAGACCTGTCCCCTGAAGCTCATGTCAAGAAGATAACATCAGCGGCATATGCCAGGTTGGCTAACATAAGAATGGCCTTTAGAAACTTGTGTAAAGAATCTTTCAGAACTTTGTATACCACATATGTCAGACCAATCCTGGAGTATGCGGCTCCAGCATGGAGTCCATAGTAGTAGGGATGAAGCACTAAATAGGATATTTATTTTGTTAAATATCCCGTTTAGACTGTCGGGTTTCCTTAACAATTTAAGACAAAAATATGACAGAGCCCATTTCAAGCCCGAAATTTGACAGATTATTTTAGACCCAAATATGACAGACTATTTTAGACCAAATAATTTTCAAAAACCATATAAGACAGAAATGAGACAGAAATTAATTGATAAAAATACAGATTTGTCATACTCCTCGTATGTTCATTGTGTTCTTTCTTATACATGTTTTCTGCGATCTTTGTCATGTTCTTACCATATTCTTCACAAGTTCATTGTTCATTCTTTGTATTCCTGATATTCTTTGTCATGTTTCCATGTTCTCTTCAAGTTCATATTCCCCACAAGTTCACTGTGCTCATCGCATTTCTTTTACATGTTCTTTAAAATCAAATGTACCAAGACATTCTTTCCTTAACTAAAATCATTCGCCAATCAACTAAAAAATAGTCAAGGGAAACTAAAAGTTTCTCCAATCAACTGAAAATATTCATATTCTTTATTTTTAACTAAAATATTCGTCAATCAGCTAAAAAAAATAGTCAGGATTAACCTTGTTCAATACTGTTCTTAACTAAAATAACCTTTTTCTCTTGGCTAAATAGTCAAAGGAAACTTTCCAACACTGTTCATAACTCACCTTATCCATCGTCAATTAACTAAAAATAGTCACTTTCATCATTACTTAACTAAAATATATTCGTCAATCAACTGAAAAAAGCCATGTTCATCATGTCTTCTTGTCGTTTCTTAACTAAAATAAGCATTACAAATTACGGAAATTATTCACTCTGCCCACCATGAGAGTAAGAACAAGACCAGAACGTCAAGATGCCAACATAGAAGACACTGCCCGACAAACAGCGGCCACTACGCTTGATTAATCTTTGTATGTACCCAATTTAACCTTAGCTTCTTTTCTCCTTCATATCTTCCCAATGTATACCTTTTGTTTACACCTCATCCCATTGTTCGATCCATTTGTATTCACCTGACCTGCTATTAGTATAAAATATAATGTTCTGTACTGTAACATCACTTGAGAATGAACCATGTAGGTTCGAAACGTCGTGCGATTTTATGATAAGTGTAATACATTCTTCAGTTATTCAATTCATTTTCTTCACCTTGAAAACAACATGACTTTCGGTGAACTCGTCTTCCAGCTGAACCCTGATGCAAGAGCATTAGTAAGAGGGATAGAAGCCCTAAATCAGAAAATAGTAAATACGGAATATGCTGTCATATTCAATGAGACACGCATAAAAGAAAACCTGCTGCCAGTATACACAAAAATATATATATATATATGTATATATATATATATATATATATATATATATATATATATATATATATATATATATATATATATATATATATATATATATATATATATATATATATATATATATATATATTCAGAGAGAGAGAGTGGGATTGTTCGTACTAATATACAGTAATATTTGATTGTTTTATATTGTAGGTGAGCAGTAATGTTGGGGCGGCATCTGTACTGCTCCACCTGGAGACCAGACATGGCTCCACGGAGCCCCTCACCGTGTCTCTGGAAGCGTTTGCTGGCTTTGGCAACCTCGAGGCTTGGGTCTCAACCATCACCTCCTCTGACCCTAACTGGCAACACTTCACTGGTAAAACTGAAGTTAGTATTGCAAAACTGGTTGCTAGCATTCGTTATAATAGGAAACATTAATGTGCACTTGGGTTTGATTCATGAGCATCTATAATTCTTCAGTGCGCATTATATGATGTCCTTAGAAGACAATTGAATGTAATGTTTCCTGGTACTGAGACACTTTAACATCTAATGCCTATTTCTGTTAACTAGTTTTTTATATAATTTTCATATTTACTGTCTGGCGGTCATATAGTCATTAGCTTCATCATGTTGCTTATTGAGTGATACTAACGTATATAATACATGAAGGAACTTACATAAAATATAAAAGCAACACAACTTTGGAACCATTAAGTGTACCAGACCTCTTGAATGTGTTTTAAAGCTTGTTAAAACTTCGCTGAGGTGGCCACAGCTGACCGACAAACATCCCAAGCTGCAAAAGTGAATTATTTTGTACATTGTTATTTACTCTTAAGGTGAAGACGTTCCCATATACTCATGTTAAGTCATTAGCGGATCCAGACGAGGAAGCAGCTCTTCATATTTTTATGTCATATTTTTATTGTCATGTTTAATGTCATATTTTAATGTCATATTAATGTTATATAATGTCAAAATGTTATATTTTTAATGTAATATTATACTTTGCGTCAAACTGACGCAAGTATAATGCATTCAAAATTAATGTATTTTAATAATACATTAAATTTTATGTATTACGAAAGTATAAATACAGTTCTCTCACGTTCTCTCAGGAACGCGAGAGAACTGTACTGAAAAGTGTACATGTTGCCATAATATACCTGTGTGTGAGAAGGTGACAATAACACAGCTGAGTGAGGGAGAAAGTCTGACAATAACACCAGCTGTGTGAGGGAGAAAGTCTGACAATAACACCAGCTGTGTGAGGGAGAAAGTCTGACAATAACACCAGCTGTGTGAGGGAGAAAGTCTAACAATAACACAGCTGTGTGAGGGAGAAAGTCTGACAATAACACCAGCTGTGTGAGGGAGAAAGTCTGACAATAACACCAGCTGTGTGAGGGAGAAAGTCTAGCAATAACACAGCTGTGTGAGGGAGAAAGTCTGACAATAACACCAGCTGTGTGAGGGAGAAAGTCTAACAATAACACAGCTGTGTGAGGGAGAAAGTCTAACAATAACACAGCTGTGTGAGGGAGAAAGTCTGACAATAACACAGCTGTGTGAGGGAGAAAGTCTAACAATAACACAGCTGTGTGGGGGAGAAAGTCTGACAATAACACAGCTGTGTGAGGGAGAAAGTCTGACAATAACAGCTGTGTGAGGGAGAAAGTCTAACAATAACACAGCTGTGTGAGGGAGAAAGTCTGACAATAACACAGCTGTGTGAGGGAGAAAGTCTGACAATAACACAGCTGTGTGAGGGAGAAAGTCTAACAATAACACAGCTGTGTGAGGGAGAAAGTCTAACAATAACACAGCTGTGTGAGGGAGAAAGTCTGACAATAACACAGCTGTGTGTGGGAGAAAGTCTAACAATAACACAGCTGTGTGAGGGAGAAAGTCTAACAATAACACCAGCTGTGTGAGGGAGAAAGTCTAACAATAACACCAGCTGTGTGAGGGAGAAAGTCTAACAATAACACAGCTGTGTGAGGGAGAAAGTCTAACAATAACACAGCTGTGTGAGGGAGAAAGTCTAACAATAATACAGCTGTGTGAGGGAGAAAGTCTGACAATAACACAGCTGTGTGAGGGAGAAAGTCTAACAATAACACAGCTGTGTGAGGGAGAAAGTCTAACAATAACACAGCTGTGTGAGGGAGAAAGTCTAACAATAACACAGCTGTGTGAGGGAGAAAGTCTGACAATAACACCAGCTGTGTGAGGGAGAAAGTCTAACAATAACACCAGCTGTGTGAGGGAGAAAGTCTGACAATAACACAGCTGTGTGAGGGAGAAAGTCTGACAATAACACAGCTGTGTGAGGGAGAAAGTCTGACAATAACACAGCTGTGTGAGTCAACACTGACATAACGTGATGGCGTAGCCACCACACATGCCACAGATAATTCAGTATGGGATAATTCTAGTGTTAGAACTAGTAGGCTAGTGTTAATATTAGTGTATGGCTGTTGTTGGTGCTAATGTATGACTAATGCTAGTACTGGTATATCGCGTGTGATAGTACTAGTATATGTCTAATGTACCAATATATGGGTACTGATGATAATATTATATGACTAGTGAGGGTACTAATATATGACTAGTGAGGGTACTAATATATGACTAGTGAGGGGTACTAATATATGACTAGTGAGGGGTACTAATATATGACTAGTGAGGGTACTAATATATGACTAGTCAGGGGTACTAATATATGACTAGTGAGGGTACTAATATATGACTAGTGAGGGTACTAATATATGACTAGTGAGGGGTACTAATATATGACTAGTGAGGGTACTAATATATGACTAGTGAGGGGTACTAATATATGACTAGTGAGGGTACTAATATATGACTAGTGAGGGGTACTAATATATGACTAGTGAGGGTACTAATATATGACTAGTGAGGGGTACTAATATATGACTAGTGAGGGTACTAATATATGACTAGTGAGGGGTACTAATATATGACTAGTGAGGGTACTAATATATGACTAGTGAGGGGTACTAATATATGACTAGTGAGGGTACTAATATATGACTAGTGAGGGGTACTAATATATGACTAGTGAGGGTACTAATATATGACTAGTGAGGGGTACTAATATATGACTAGTGAGGGTACTAATATATGACTAGTGAGGGGTACTAATATATGACTAGTGAGGGGTACTAATATATGACTAGTGAGGGGTACTAATATATGACTAGTGAGGGTACTAATATATGACTAGTGAGGGGTACTAATATATGACTAGTGAGGGGTACTAATATATGACTAGTGAGGGGTACTAATATATGACTAGTGAGGGTACTAATATATGACTAGTGAGGGTACTAATATATGACTAGTGAGGGGTACTAATATATGACTAGTGAGGGTACTAATATATGACTAGTGAGGGTACTAATATATGACTAGTGAGGGGTACTAATATATGACTAGTGAGGGTACTAATATATGACTAGTGAGGGTACTAATATATGACTAGTGAGGGGTACTAATATATGACTAGTGAGGGTACTAATATATGACTAGTGAGGGGTACTAATATATGACTAGTGAGGGTACTAATATATGACTAGTGAGGGGTACTAATATATGACTAGTGAGGGTACTAATATATGACTAGTGAGGGGTACTAATATATGACTAGTGAGGGTACTAATATATGACTAGTGAGGGGTACTAATATATGACTAGTGAGGGTACTAATATATGACTAGTGAGGGTACTAATATATGACTAGTGAGGGGTGCTAATATATGACTAGTGAGGGTAATAATATATGACTAGTGAGGGTACTAATATATGACTAGTGAGGGGTACTAATATATGACTAGTGAGGGTACTAATATATGACTAGTGAGGGTACTAATATATGACTAGTGAGGGGTACTAATATATGACTAGTGAGGGTACTAATATATGACTAGTGAGGGTACTAATATATGACTAGTGAGGGTACTAATATATGACTAGTGAGGGTAATAATATATGACTAGTGAGGATACTAATATATGACTAGTGAGGGGTACTAATATATGACTAGTGAGGGTACTAATATATGACTAGTGAGGGGTACTAATATATGACTAGTGAGGGTACTAATATATGACTAGTGAGGGGTACTAATATATGACTAGTGAGGGTACTAATATATGACTAGTGAGGGGTACTAATATATGACTAGTGAGGGTACTAATATATGACTAGTGAGGGTACTAATATATGACTAGTGAGGGGTGCTAATATATGACTAGTGAGGGTAATAATATATGACTAGTGAGGGTACTAATATATGACTAGTGAGGGGTACTAATATATGACTAGTGAGGGTACTAATATATGACTAGTGAGGGTACTAATATATGACTAGTGAGGGGTACTAATATATGACTAGTGAGGGTACTAATATATGACTAGTGAGGGTACTAATATATGACTAGTGAGGGTACTAATATATGACTAGTGAGGGTACTAATATATGACTAGTGAGGGTACTAATATATGACTAGTGAGGGTACTAATATATGACTAGTGAGGGTACTAATATATGACTAGTGAGGGTACTAATATATGACTAGTGAGGGTACTAATATATGACTAGTGAGGGTACTAATATATGACTAGTGAGGGGTACTAATATATGACTAGTGAGGGTACTAATATATGACTAGTGAGGGTACTAATATATGACTAGTGAGGGTACTAATATATGACTAGTGAGGGTACTAATATATGACTAGTGAGGGTACTAATATATGACTAGTGAGGGTACTAATATATGACTAGTGAGGGTACTAATATATGACTAGTGAGGGTACTAATATATGACTAGTGAGGGTACTAATATATGACTAGTGAGGGTACTAATATATGACTAGTGAGGGGTACTAATATATGACTAGTGAGGGTACTAATATATGACTAGTGAGGGTACTAATATATGACTAGTGAGGGTACTAATATATGACTAGTGAGGGTACTAATATATGACTAGTGAGGGTAATAATATGTAACTAGTGAGGGGTACTAATATATGACTAGTGAGGGTACTAATATATGACTAGTGAGGGTACTAATATATGACTAGTGAGGGGTACTAATATATGACTAGTGAGGGTACTAATATATGACTAGTGAGGGGTACTAATATATGACTAGTGAGGGGTACTAATATATGACTAGTGAGGGGTACTAATATATGACTAGTGAGGGGTACTAATATATGACTAGTGAGGGTAATAATATGTAACTAGTGAGGGGTACTAATATATGACTAGTGAGGGTACTAATATATGACTAGTGAGGGTACTAATATATGACTAGTGAGGGTACTAATATATGACTAGTGAGGGGTACTAATATATGACTAGTGAGGGTACTAATATGTAACTAGTGAGGGGTACTAATATATGACTAGTGAGGGTACTAATATGTAACTAGTGAGGGTACTAATATATGACTAGTGAGGGTACTAATATATGACTAGTGAGGGTACTAATATATGACTAGTGAGGGTACTAATATATGACTAGTGAGGGTACTAATATGTAACTAGTGAGGGGTACTAATATATGACTAGTGAGGGTACTAATATATGACTAGTGAGGGTACTAATATATGACTAGTGAGGGGTACTAATATATGACTAGTGAGGGGTACTAATATATGACTAGTGAGGGTACTAATATATGACTAGTGAGGGGTACTAATATATGACTAGTGAGGGTACTAATATATGACTAGTGAGGGGTACTAATATATGACTAGTGAGGGGTACTAATATATGACTAGTGAGGGGTACTAATATATGACTAGTGAGGGTACTAATATATGACTAGTGAGGGTACTAATATATGACTAGTGAGGGGTACTAATATATGACTAGTGAGGGTACTAATATATGACTAGTGAGGGTACTAATATATGACTAGTGAGGGGTACTAATATATGACTAGTGAGGGTACTAATATATGACTAGTGAGGGTACTAATATATGACTAGTGAGGGGTACTAATATATGACTAGTGAGGGGTACTAATATATGACTAGTGAGGGTACTAATATATGACTAGTGAGGGTACTAATATATGACTAGTGAGGGTACTAATACATTGGTACTAAAAGTAGTAATAAAGTGTTCTGGTCACTGTAGAATATAATACACTCCCAATATTAGTATAGTACAATATATATTGTATTTAATAAAATAAATAATATATAATGGTGTCCCCTTGGCGCAGTGGTAACACATTCGTACAGCGCTTCGCTAGAGAATTGTCCTGGGTTCGTATCCAGGCCGGGAAGGATTGACTAGGCGAAATCCTTAATTCTTTCACCTTCATTAAAGAATATAATAATAATAATAATAATAATAATAATAATAATAATAATAGTTACTAATGCATCATATTATTATGATGCATTAGTAACAATTATCTTATCGGAAAGAATTATGATATCTGTTATGGTAATATTATCGATAATATTAATATTTTTATGTTAATACTATGCGGGGCGTATAAGATGTGTTAATAGCAGTAATAATGACTGTGCGATGTTAGGAATGGACTAAAACTACAGGAAAGTGTTGGTAACAGTTGGAACTCATTTTGCAGGTGAAATGGTTCACCGAGACTGTGAGTGTTGGCCACGATCTTTTGTGGAGGGACGACGACAAGCATGTGAAGCTCTCCTGTAGAGGGAGCTCTGTTGCAGCTGTTGTTAAGGTTAGTGATGAAGGGTGTAGAGGGAGCTCTGTTGCAGCTGTTGTTAAGGTCAGTGATGAAGGGTGTAGAGGGAGCTCTGTTGCAGATGTTGTTAAGGTCAGTGATCAAGGGTGTAGAGGGAGCTCTGTTGCAGCTGTTGTTAAGGTCAGTGATGAAGGGTGTAGAGGGAGCTCTGTTGCAGCTGTTGTTAAGGTCAGTGATCAAGGGTGTAGAGGGAGCTCTGTTGCAGCTGTTGTTAAGGTCAGTGATGAAGGGTGTAGAGGGAGCTCTGTTGCAGCTGTTGTTAAGGTCAGTGATCAAGGGTGTAGAGGGAGCTCTGTTGCAGCTGTTGTTAAGGTCAGTGATCAAGGGTGTAGAGGGAGCTCTGTTGCAGCTGTTGTTAAGGTTAGTGATCAAGGGTGTAGAGGGAGCTCTGTTGCGGCTGTTGTTAAGGTTAGTGATCAAGGGTGTAGAGGGAGCTCTGTTGCAGCTGTTGTTAAGGTTAGTGATGAAGGGTGTAGAGGGAGCTCTGTTGCAACTGTTGTTAAGGTTAGTGATGAAGGGTGTAGAGGGAGCTCTGTTGCAGCTGTTGTTAAGGTCAGTGATGAAGGGTGTAGAGGGAGCTCTGTTGCGGCTGTTGTTAAGGTTAGTGATGAAGGGTGTAGAGGGAGCTCTGTTGCGGCTGTTGTTAAGGTTAGTGATCGAGGGTGTAGAGGGAGCTCTGTTGCGGCTGTTGTTAAGGTTAGTGATCAAGGGTGTAGAGGGAGCTCTGTTGCAGCTGTTGTTAAGGTTAGTGATCAAGGGTGTAGAGGGAGCTCTGTTGTCTAGGTTAGTGATCAAGGGTGTAGAGGGAGCTCTGTTGCAGCTGTTGTCAAGGTCAGTGATCAAGGGTGTAGAGGGAGCTCTGTTGCGGCTGTTGTTAAGGTTAGTGATCAAGGGTGTAGAGGGAGCTCTGTTGCAACTGTTGTTAAGGTTAGTGATGAAGGGTGTAGAGGGAGCTCTGTTGCAACTGTTGTTAAGGTTAGTGATGAAGGGTGTAGAGGGAGCTCTGTTGCAGCTGTTGTTAAGGTTAGTGATCAAGGGTGTAGAGGGAGCTCTGTTGTCTAGGTTAGTGATCAAGGGTGTAGAGGGAGCTCTGTTGCAGCTGTTGTCAAGGTCAGTGATCAAGGGTGTAGAGGGAGCTCTGTTGCGGCTGTTGTTAAGGTTAGTGATCAAGGGTGTAGAGGGAGCTCTGTTGCAGCTGTTGTTAAGGTTAGTGATCAAGGGTGTAGAGGGAGCTCTGTTGCAGCTGTTGTCAAGGTCAGTGATCAAGGGTGTAGAGGGAGCTCTGTTGCGGCTGTTGTTAAGGTTAGTGATGAAGGGTGTAGAGGGAGCTCTGTTGCGGCTGTTGTTAAGGTTAGTGATGAAGGGTGTAGAGGGAGCTCTGTTGCAACTGTTGTTAAGGTTAGTGATGAAGGGTGTAGAGGGAGCTCTGTTGCAACTGTTGTTAAGGTTAGTGATGAAGGGTGTAGAGGGAGCTCTGTTGCAGCTGTTGTTAAGGTTAGTGATGAAGGGTGTAGAGGGAGCTCTGTTGCGGCTGTAGTCAAGGTTATTGATGAAGGGTGTAGAGGGAGCTCTGTTGCAACTGTAGTCAAGGTTAGTGATCCAGGGTGTAGAGGGAGCTCTGTTGCGGCTGTTGTTAAGGTTAGTGATCAAGGGTGTAGAGGGAGCTCTGTTGCAGCTGTTGTTAAGGTCAGTGATCAAGGGTGTAGAGGGAGCTCTGTTGCAGCTGTTGTTAAGGTTAGTGATCAAGAGTGTAGAGGGAGCTCTGTTGCAGCTGTAGTCAAGGTTATTGATGAAGGGTGTAGAGGGAGCTCTGTTGCAACTGTAGTCAAGGTTAGTGATCCAGGGTGTAGAGGGAGCTCTGTTGCGGCTGTTGTTAAGGTTAGTGATCCAGGGTGTAGAGGGAGCTCTGTTGCAGCTGTTGTTAAGGTTAGTGATCCAGGGTGTAGAGGGAGCTCTGTTGCAACTGTAGTCAAGGTTAGTGATCCAGGGTGTAGAGGGAGCTCTGTTGCAACTGTTGTCAAGGTTAGTGATCAAAGGTGTAGAGGGAGTTCTGTTGCAACTGTTGTCAAGGTTAGTGATCAAGGGTGTAGAGGGAGCTCTGATGCAGCTGTTGTTAAGGTTAGTGATGAAGGGTGTAGAGGGAGCTCTGTTGCAACTGTTGTCAAGGTTAGTGATCAAGGGTGTAGAGGGAGCTCTGTTGCAACTGTTGTCAAGGTTAGTGATCAAGGGTGTAGAGGGAGCTCTGTTGCGGCTGTTGTTAAGGTTAGTGATCAAGGGTGTAGAGGGAGCTCTGTTGCGGCTGTTGTCAAGGTTAGTGATCCAGGGTGTAGAGGGAGCTCTGTTGCAGCTGTTGTTAAGGTTAGTGATCAAGGGTGTAGAGGGAGCTCTGTTGCGGCTGTTGTTAAGGTCAGTGATCAAGGGTGTAGAGGGAGCTCTGTTGCAGCTGTTGTTAAGGTTAGTGATGAAGGGTGTAGAGGGAGCTCTGTTGCAGCTGTTGTTAAGGTTAGTGATCCAGGGTGTAGAGGGAGCTCTGTTGCAGCTGTTGTTAAGGTTAGTGATGAAGGGTGTAGAGGGAGCTCTGTTGCAACTGTTGTCAAGGTTAGTGATCCAGGGTGTAGAGGGAGCTCTGTTGCGGCTGTTGTTAAGGTTAGTGATCCAGGGTGTAGAGGGAGCTCTGTTGCGGCTGTTGTTAAGGTTAATGATGAAGGGTGTAGAGGGAGCTCTGTTGCAACTGTTGTCAAGGTTAGTGATCAAGGGTGTAGAGGGAGCTCTGTTGCAACTGTTGTCAAGGTTAGTGATCAAGGGTGTAGAGGGAGCTCTGTTGCAACTGTTGTCAAGGTTAGTGATGAAGGGTGTAGAGGATCCTCATCGGGATCCGACTTCATATCAGGTAAGTTAAACGGAATTGGGCAAGTGATTAGTGCATCCTCTTGTACATATTTCCCCTTTTGTGTATAAGTGCAGTGTTTGGTGTTATGAAGAAACACAGAGTTAAGATAGTGAACAAGAAACCCACGATTGATACACTAGACGATGTCCAGGTGTTGTTAAACCATGAGTTCTGCCTTCGCAAATTGAAGTATTTAGGGATACCAGAAATAAGGTTGATAAGCGCCTACCTTGAAGTAAAGGTGAACGAGAGAGATTCGCGTGTCGAGATCCTCTCTTGAAAGTTTGTTAGCATTTGAAACCAAACGGCAAACAGGAAAGTGTAGTCCGTAGTAAAGTAGAGAGTGTCATGGATTACACTAACAAGGAAGACCAGGAAAGTGATGGTGAGAGTGACCCAGCTGAACTAAATGTGGAGCTTATTGAGAGTGAAAATACGAGAATTAGAAATGCATCGTATAATAGTGGAAAAAGCTAGAACTAGAGAGAGAGAAAGGGAAGAGGAAAGAAAGAGAAGAAAATGAGACAGAGAAGGAAAGAGAAAAGAGAGGAAATGGAAATAAAACGTTAGATTGAATTAAAACGTTTGGAAAGAAAAGACAAGAGAGAAGAAAGAGAGAGGGAGAAAGAAAGAAAGAGAAGAAAGGCAACACGAATTGGAAGTGCTAAGATTAGGTGGTTGAAGGGAATACAGTGGTATCGACCCAGTGCAGAATAGTAAAAGGTGCCTAAAATCAATGAGGAGGTGTCCAAGTACTTTGCTGCCTTTAAGAAAGTAACTGCCTCATTAGACTGGCTAAGGGACAATTGGGCATTTATGATTGCCCAATTGTCTGATTGCAGTGGTGACTGGGAAGGGCCAAACCGCGTACTCCACACTGTCAGTAGGTGACTCTAGTAATTATGACGCTGTCAAGAAGGTGATGATGGCTTACCAGTTGGTACCTGAAGTATATAGGCAGAAGTTTCGCAATCTTAAGAAAACATCAGAGCACACCTTCACCGAGTTGGCTTTCATTAAGGAGAGATTGTTCTACGAATGATGCACGTCTCGGATGGTTGAGACTAAGGAACAACTGTAACAACTAGTTTTGTTAGATTTCAAGGAGTGTTTGTCAGGTGATCTGAAGACGTACTTGGAGGAGCAGCAAGTAGAGACCTTGGGTGCTGCAGCCACCATGTAGTCAAAGACGAACTAGTCCTAGGAGAGACATAGTGTGTTGGACCTGTGGGAAGGTAGGGCACTTGTCTGGTAAGTGTAGGAACAGGGCAGGAAAAGACCCGTATAAAGAGGTTTTGCTGGCAAGTTGTGTGACACCACCAGTGGAAATCCACCAAATAGAGAGAAACCAGGATTGTTTGACCCTACACTTGAAAAGGGTATATATTGAGTGAACTGACTGGCAGGTGTGTAGTAAATCTCAGAGATAGTGGAGCAGTCCAATCTCTGATTTTGAGGAACTCGTTACCCAAGGAAGTGTCTACTGGCGGGAAACACAGTGTTATTTTAGGTGGGTTACCCCCGACTTTGAACGTTGCTTCCTTTGTAGAGGTTCATTTGGAATCGCCGTAGTTAAACGGCAAGTGTCCTTTAGCTGTAGTTGACCATCTTCCTATAGAAGGGATAGAGGTAATACTGGCCAATGACTTATCTTTGAGTGTGGATAGTAACCATCCCATGGTGGTGACAGATCCGGTAGAAGCTGTGGTAAGACCTGAAGTATCAATACAAACCAGATCCCAAATACAGACTAAGTTGCGATTAGATGACTTGTTTAATCCTACACCTACCCCACGGGTTGTCGACAGTACTCCATCTAACTCCCTAGTCTTTACTCCAGAACCGAAGCACTCGACTAGAGTGACCGTGATGACTGAGCAAGAGAAGTACCCCCAAGTGCAGGCACTCGTAGGTGCCATAGAGTCTGGTGTGAAGGCAGGTGACCAGTACTTCAGGAAAGACAAGGTACTGTGCCAGAGGTATCAACCAAGAGCTCCCCAGACTCCAGAGGTATGTACACAGAGTGCCGTATCCTCAGTGTTCTGGACCAAGATGTTGGAATCAGCCCATGCTGCATTACATTATGGACATTGCAGGCTTGCTAAAGTTTTCATCACCTAGCAGATATTTCTTCAGTATCTTCTGTTTTTACCTCCTTTGCCATAAGATCAGTGTCGAGTGAGTCCCTGGGACTATCTCTATTCGAGATGGTTTGTGGTAACGCGGTGAGAGGACCATTAGAGGTACACCAAGGACCAATGGACGAACAAGAAGCAGATGTTATTACACATAAACATGGTAAAGCGGTACCAAAATAATATATAGATTCATATCTATATCATTAATAGATATATAGATATATGTATAGATATTATAAGAAGTTTAATTGGTTAAGGTGCTGATTAGTATTGTTTACCCCCTTTCCCTTTTACGATTACTTGTTACTGCCAATTCTTAAAACACTAATGACTTGGGGTGGGATCAATGAAGAACAAACACTAAGGCTCCAATACACAGCGATTGAAATAATGAACCCAGGGCCAGATTCACGAAGCAGTAATGCAAGCACTTACGAACCTGTACATCTTTTCTCCAGCTTTAGCGGCTTTATTTACTATTAATAAACAGTTAATGAGCTCCGAAGCACCAGGAGGCTGTTTATAACAACAATAACAGTTGATTGGGAAGTTTTCATGATTGTTAACTGTTTAATAAATGTAACCAAAGCCGTCAAAGATTGAGGAAAGATGTACACGTTCGTAAGTACTTGCGTAATTGGTTCGTGAATCTGGCCCCCAGTTACTGGCTAAGTCAGGCCGTAACATTTTTATTGATTCATTTTTTAGTGATCAGTTAAAGGGCGATTTGAGTAGGATCATTGATACACTAATACCTTATTAATATCCCCGGTTTCTCTTGCGGCTGATGTTGGAGTCCACATCTAGTCAAATACAAAACGGAGTTAGAAAAGGTTCCGAGGTATGCCACGAGGCAAGTCCCCGAGCTGAGAGGAATGAGCTATGAGGAAAGTTTACTGGAACTGAACTTCACTACACTAGAAGACATAAGAGTTATGGGGTACATGATCACTACGTACTAAATTCTCAGAGGAATTGTCAGGGGTAGATAAAGATATACTGTTTAGCACGGGTGGTACGTGAACAAGGGGACACAGATGGAAGCTGAGTACCCAGATGAGCCACAGGGACGTTAGAAAGATTTTTTTTCAGTGTTAGAGTAGTTAACAGATGGAATGCATTAAGCAGTGATGTGGTGGAGGCTGACTCCATACACAGTTTCAAATGTATATGTGAGATCCCAGTAGGCTCAGGAATCTATACACCAGTTGATTGACAGTTGAGAGGTAGGATCAGAGATCCAGAGCTCAACCTCCACAAGCACAACTAGATGAGTACACACACACACTGCGAGGTATTCAGAGACTACATAACAGGCACCATGACAATGGGAGGACCAAGAGTGGTAGTAGAAGCAGTGATATATATAACCCTCCACCAAATGACAGAAGACCCAGGCCAGAGTATGACAATAACAACATGGCAGTTAACACTATAATTGAAAGGGCAGCCTCTGCTGCCTGTAGAAATAGATCCCATCTGCTCATCATGGGGGACTTCAATCACGGAAGGATAGACTGGGAGAACAAGGAACCGCATGGGGGTGAGGAAACATGGAGAGCTAAACCATTGGAGGTGACGATAAAAAACTTTTTAAGGAAACGAGATGAGTGGATACGATGAACCAGCGAGACTCGACCTTGTCTTCACTCTGAACGAATCCGACATAAGGGAAATAGGGTTCGAGGTCCCAGTCGAAATGAGTGATAACAGTGTACTGACGTTTGAGTACCTGGTCGAAGAAGGATTAATGTTCTCGAGGAAGGGATCTGAAAACAAAAGGCTGGGATTTCAAAATGGAAACTATGAGGAGATAAGAAAATTTCTCACAGATATAACATGGGGAAAGAGAGCTCAGAGGAAAGACGGCCCAAGACATGATGGACTACTTCACGCAGAAGTGTAAGAAGGCGGCAGACAAGTTTGTCCCGGTCCAAAAGGAAAACAACGAAATGCAGATGAGAAACCAATGGTTTAATCAGAGACGTAGGCTAGCTGAGCAGCAAAATAAAAAGGCGTGGAGAAACTATAGAAATAACAGGACACTTGAGAGCAGAGAAAGATACCAGAGTGCCAGGAATGAATATGTCAGGGGGAGAAGAGAGGCAGAACGGTAATACGAAAATGACATAGTTTGCAAGGCAAAGCTTCAACCTAAATTGCTGTACAGTCACATCAGGAGGAAAAACAACAGTGAAGGAACAGGTAATGAAATTGAGGATAGGGGCAGACAGATTCATTACAAACAACAAGAAAGTGTGCGAGGAAATTAATAAGAAATTCCAGGAGGTCTTCACATTAGAGCAAGGAGAAGTTCCAGAGATAAGAGAGGGAATATTTAACCAGGCACCACTAGAAGAGTGTGGAATCACCAGTAGGGATGTAAGGAAGCTTTTGCTAGAGTTACATGTGACAAAAGCTATAGGCCCGGATGGAATCTCACCATGGATACTAAAGGAAGGAGCAGAATCACTGTGCCTGCTACTCTCCATGGTGTATAACAAATCACTGGTAACAGGTGAACTGCCAAAAATCTGGAAGATGGCTAATGTAGTCCCGATATATAAGGGGATAGACAGGAGGCATTGAGCTACAGGCCAGTGTCCCTAACTTTCATACCATGCAAACTGATGGAGCAGATTGCGCGAAAAAAGCTAGTGGAACATCTGGAGGGAAAGAACTTTGTAACACAGCATCAACATGGGTTTAGGGACGTAAAGTCCTGCCTCACAGGAATAATTGAATTCTACGGCCAGGCAACAAAAATCAGGCAAGAGAGGGGTGGGCAGACTGCATATTTTTGGATTGCCAGAAAGCCTTTGATACAGTACCACACAAGAGGCTAGTGCAAAAGCTGGAGATGCAGGCAGGAGTGAAAGGGAAAGTACTCCATTGGATAAGGGAATACCTAAGCAACAGAAGACAGCGAGTAACTGTGAGGGGCGAGGTCTCAGATTGGTGAGGCGTCACCAGTGGAATCCCACAGGGTTCAGTCCTTGGACCTATACGGTTTCTCATCAATGTAAATGATCTCCCAGAGGGTATAGAATCGTTTCTCTCATTGTTTGTTAATGATGCAAAAATTATGAGGAGGATTAAGACGGAGGAAGATTGTATGAGGCTACATGATGACCTAGACAAACAGAATGAATGGTCCAAGAAATGACTGCTAAAGTGAAACCGCAGTAAATGCAAAGTAATGAAACTAGACGGTGGAAACAGGAGGCCAGATAAAGGATACCGAATGGGAAATGAAGTTCTTCATGAAATAGACAGAGAGAAAGATCTAGGAGTTGATATCACACCAAACCTGTCTCCTGAAGCCCACATAAAAATAATGACATCTGCGGTGTATGCAAGGCTGGCTAATATCAGAACTTCCTTCAGGAACCTGTGTAAAGAATAATTCAGAACCTTGTATTCCACATATGTAAGACCAATCCTGGAGTATGCAGCCCCAGCATGGAGCCCGTACTGACCAAGCACAAGCAAGCTTGTCAAGCTCAAGACGAAGCTGGAAAGAGTTCTGAGACATGCCACTAGACTATTCTAAGAACTAAAGGGCATGAGTTACGAGGAAAGGCAGCGTGAAAGGCACCACACGACACTGGAAAGCAGAAGAGTAAGGGGAGACATGATCATTTCCTACAAAATTATCAGAGGAATTAACAGGGTAGATATGGATGCTGTTTAACACGGGGTTGTACGCGAACAAGGGGACACAGGTGGAAACCTAGTACCCAAATGAGCCACAGAGAGACGTTAGAAAGAACTTTTTCAGTGTCAGAGTAGTTAACCGATGGAATGTATTAGGCAGTGATGTGGTGGAGGCTGACTCCATCCATACACAGTTTTAAGTGTAGATATGATAGAGCCCAATAGGCTCAGGAATCTGTACACCAGTTGATTGACAGTTGAGAGGCGGGACCAAAGAGCCAGAGCTCAACCCCCGCAAGCACAACTAAGTGAGTACACACACACGTGCGCGCGAGAAATTTAAACTTGTTCACATAGGAGATGTGAGGCGTAATAACGTTAAAAGTAATTTACTCTTTGTTTCGTAGACGTCTCCCAGTCCACTACTAGAGGTGGAGGTCCACACCAACACTGACGACAACCACCCACACTTCAAGGTAAGTTGAGTTGTACCGTTCCCTGGCTTGTTAAACTGGCAGTACGTCTCGAATAGTATACTGCTTTCTTGTAGTGTGTGTGTATGTATGTATGTATATGTAGGTATAGGTTAGTATACTCTATATTGGTAGCAGTCTTTCCTGTAGACATATATTATTAAATATGACCGAAAAAGTAAGATTAATAATTCTAACGCGAATTTTTTCAATATTTCTTACATTTCTTTTCACTGTTGATGGTAATTGAAAAATCAATTCTCCAAAATTCATTTTTATTTCTAGTCTGACGCGACACTTGAACGCGTTTCGTAATAACTTATTACATTTTCAAAGACTTTTAGTTTACACACACACAACTATAACCTGCAAACACTAAACAGAGTTCTTACTATGCTATGGTTTAAACAGCTTTCATTTTATTTTATACCCGCATTTTGAGTGAGGTGATATGTTACAACAGTTTTGGATGAGGTGAACAAAACTTTCAACACAAGACAGAACACGAAACAATGGGTATTAATTGGGTAAATTGAAGGTAAGAATGGAAGTAACTGCAGAAGGCCTATTGGCCCATATTTCTTGATGCTTCTATATTGGAGCGGAGTCTTGAAGTGGGTAGAATATAGTTGTGCATTAATTGGCTGTTGATTGCTGGTGTTGACTTCTTGATGTGTAGTGCCTCGCAGATGTCAAGCCGCCTGCTATCGCTGTATGTATCGATGATTTCTGTGTTGTTTGCTAAGATTTCCCTGGTGATGGTCTGGTTGTGGGAAGAGATTATATGTTCCTTAATGGAGCCCTGTTGCTTATGCATCGTTAATCCCCTGGAAAGAGATGTTGTTGTCTTGCCTATATACTGAGTTTTTTGAGGCTTACAGTCCCCAAGTGAGCATTTGAAGGCATAGACGACGTTAGTCTCTTTTAAAGCGGTCTGCTTTATATCTGGAGAGTTTCTCATGAGTAGGTTCGCCGTTTTCTTGGTTTTATAGTAAATCGTCAGTTGTATCTTCTGATTTTTGTCTGTAGGGATAACGTTTCTATTAACAATATCTTTCAGGACCCTTTCCTCCGTTTTATGAGCTGTGGAAAAGAAGTTCCTGTAAAATAGTCTAATAGGGAGTATAGGTGTTGTGTTAGTTGTCTCTTCAGAGGTTGCATGGCGTTTCACCTTCCTTCTTATGATTTCTTCAACGAAACCATTAGCGAAGCCATTGTTGACTAGGACCTGCCTTACCTTACAGAGTTCTTCATCGACTTGCTTCCATCCTGAGCTTTGGCTGAGAGCACGGTCGACATAAGCGTTAACAACACTCCTCTTGTACCTGCCTGAGCAGTCACTGTTGGCATTTAGGCACATTCCTATGTTTGTTTCCTTAGTGTAGACTGCAGTGTGGAAACCTCCGCTCCTTTCCATGACTGTTACATCTAGAAAGGGCAGCTTCCCATCCTTCTCCGTCTCGTAAGTGAAACGCAACACAGTATTCTGCACAAATGCCTCCTTCAGCTCCTGCAGATGTCTGACATCAGGTACCTGTGTAAAATTGTCGTCAACATACCTGCAGTATATGGCCGGTTTCAAGTTCACGTCGACTAAGACCTTTCGCTCGATGGTACCCATGTAGAAGTTCGCAAACAGGACACCTAGGGGAGAACCCATGGCGACCCCATCTACTTGCTTATACATGTGCCCATCCAGGCTCAAGTATAAGCAAGTATAAGAAATCCGGACTCCACCTGCCAAAGATTATTGGGGGAATATAAACCTGGATACGCGTATGGAAATGTCAAGACACATAAGCCTGGAAACCCACTTCGGCCAATCATCAGCCTGATACCCACACCCACGTACAGACTGGCGAAGCAACTCAACGGCTTGCTGACTCCTTATGTCCCTTGCGCCTTCAGCCTGAAGTCTCCAAAGGAATTTGTTGACTTACTGCGGGGAACACGGGCCGCAGGGATAAGAGCCTCGTTGGACGTAGAATCACTGTTTACCAATGTACCTGTGGATGAAACAATCGAGTGATAGCGAATAGAGTGTATCGTGATCCGGCCTGTACTCCTCTTGACATACCAGAAAACATTCTAAGGAAACTACTCCAAGCTTGTACTAAAGAGGCACCCTTCTTGAGCCCGGATGGGCACATGTATAAGCAAGTAGATGGGATCGCCATGGGTTCTCCCCTAGGTGTCCTGTTTGCGAACTTCTACATGGGTACCATCGAGCAAAAGGTCTTAGTCGACATGAGCTTGAAACCGGCCATATACTGCAGGTATGTTGACGACATTTTTACACAGGTACCTGATGTCAGACATCTGCAGGAGCTGAAGAAGGCATTTGAGCAGAATTCTGTGTTGCGTTTCACTTACGAGATGGAGAAGGATGGGAAACTGCCCTTTCTAGATGTAACAGTCATGGAAAGGAGCAGAGGTTTCCACACTGCAATCTACACTAAGGAAACAAACATAGAAATGTGCCTAAATGCCAACAGTGACTGCCCAGACAGGTACAAGAGGAGTGTTGTTAACGCTTATGTCGACCGTGCTCTCAGCCACAGCTCAGGATGGAAGCAAGTCGATGAAGAACTCTGTAGGGTAAGGCAGGTCCTAGTCAACAATGGCTTCGCTAATGGTTTCGTTGAAGAAATCATAAGAAGGAAGGTGAAACGCCATGCAACCTCTGAAGAGACAACTAACACAACATCTATACCCCCTATTAGACTATTTTACAGGAACTTCTTTTCCACAGCTCATAAAATGGAGGAAAGGGTCCTGAAAGATATTGTTAATAGAAACGTTATCCCTACAGACAAAAATCAGAAGATACAACTGACGATTTACTATAAAACCAAGAAAACGGCCAACCTACTCATGAGAAACTCTCCAGACACAAAGCAGACCGCTTTTAAAGAGACTAACGTCGTCTATGCTTTCAAATGCTCACTTGGGGACTGTAAGCCTCAAAGAACTCAGTATATAGGCAAGACAACAACATCTCTTTCCAGGGGATTAACGATGCATAAGCAACAGGGCTCCATACCTTGAGGTGCTTCTGGGGCTTAGTGTCCCCGCGGCCCGGTCGTCGACCAGGCCTCCTGGTTGCTGGACTGATCAACCAGGCTGTTAGACGCGGCTGCTCGCAGCCTGACGTATGAGTCACAGCCTGGTTGATCAGGTATCTCACAGCCTGGTTGATCCATTAAGGAACATATAATCTCTTCCCACAACCAGACCGTCACCAGGGAAATCTTAGCAAACAACACAGAAATCATCGCTAGATACAGCGATAGCAGGCGGCTTGACATCTGCGAGGCACTACACATCAAGAAGTCAACACCAGCAATCAACAGCCAATTAATGCACAACTATATTCTACCCACTTCAAGACTCCGCTCCAATATAGAAGCATCAAGAAATATGGGCCAATAGGCCCTCTGCAGTTACTTCCATTCTTACCTTCAATTTACCCAATAAATACCCATTGTTTCGTGTTCTGTCTTGTGTTGAAAGTTTTGTTCACCTCATCCAAATCTGTTGTAACACATCACCTCACTCAAAATGCGGGTATAAAATAAAATGAAAGCTGTTTATATCATAGCATAGTAAGAACTCTGTTTAGTGTTTGCAGGTTATAATTGTGTGTGTGTAAACTAAAAGTCTTTGAAAATGTAATAAATTATTACGAAACGCGTTCAAGTGTCGCGTCAGACTAGATACAAAAACGAATTTTGGAGAATATATTTTTCAATTACCATCAACAGTGAAAAGAAATATAAGAAATATTGAGAAAATTCGTGTTAGAATTATTAATCTTACTTTTTCGGTCATATTTAATAATATATGTCTGTAGGTATATGTATGTATATGTATGTATATGTATGTATATGTATGTATGAATGCATGTATGTATATGTGTTTATATGTGTTTTACAACACAAACTTTGTTCAATAACCTGAAGTAGTACTTACAGCACAGACTGAAATTATATAAACTACCAATAAATGACAAGGAAATATTTGCATTATTTACAAGCACATATATAATATTATATGTGCTTGTTAAGTAGTGAACTGTGCTTATCAGTGCTTGTTAATGGGTGTACTTATCAGTGCTAGTTAAGTGGTGTTCCAATTATATTCATAAGAATATGTAAACAAACATCATAAGAGGGAGAGAACAGTAGTAGGGACAGGAGTTACACAAACAAATGAAGCCACTAATACACGAAGCGTTTCGGCCAAAATTCTCAATAAAGTAGATAAAAAAAACAAAGTATGAATGGTTAAACAATACTACAAGAGAAGTAAGCGAAGATAATTGAGCAGGTTCAAGAAATATAACAAATGATGTACACTATATAGGTGAGACTTAATGATGACAGACATAGACTATTACATTATAAAGTCTGTACTTCTAGCAGCAGTACTGTAGTTTGTTAGCATTAATAACATAAAGAAAATACAGAGGTGTAATTTAGTTAAGATACTAGAATATAACAGAATAAAGTAGCAAAATTTAATGGCTTATGATAATAGGGTTTAATGGGAATAAACTTAGAAATAAGTAAATCATTAAGGACTTGATTAAGCACTTTTAAATGTAGACTCAATAATCAGATGACACCTATTAAAGAAAGGGCATAAATTTGACCTAAAATTTAAGATAACAGAAATACAAAAATATTACGAGGGGAATATGTGAGTGAAATTAGTTACATGATATTAAGTATATATTTCTTAGCCTCGTTAAAACTGGTTGGGAGACGTAGAGCCTTTAGTTACTTATGGGAAGTCGTTCCACAATTTGGGACCCTTGATTTGCATATCCTTTCTGATTTGGTTTTGAGTCTCACTCAAGGAATATTAGAGATATTTGTTTCTCGTGTGGTGACCGGGAGTTGTAGTACAGCTTTCTAAGGAGCGCTTAAGATCAGGACTGACGTTGCAGTTCAGTTTTATAGATGGAGATTATGCTTGAGAGTATGTGCAGAGACTAGATATTTAATATATTCAGATATTTTAGTGAAGTAGCATAGTGGTGTCTGGGACTAGAGTTTGATATTGTTCAAATTGCTGATTTTGGGTGAGTAATTAGGATCCGGCGGTAATTAAGGGTGGTGGATCCCCATCCACTGATACCATATGTGAGATATGGATAAACGAGTGAATATTATAGAGATATTAAGACAGGGCGAGGTACGTAGTATCAAATTTTGAAGAGAATGCCTACTATTTTAGAAATTTGTATAGTATCCTCTACAACCAGGATAAGTAGAATACAATCAGTATATGTAGAGTACAATCAACGTAGTTGGAACTGCACTAAAATTCCTACTGTGCCAAACATGGTCATTTTCAGTTTCTTCTTCGTCTTTCCCAGTATTGTGTCAGAGCAAATATTGACTTCACGTTCAGTATTAAATAATTACATATTACATCCAGATGTCATGGAGGTCTTGACGTATTCTTTTAGGGTGTATTTAAATACCTCTCAACACAGCTCAAACATTTAACATCATGAGCAGTTACTTCAGGAGCTTAACGACTTGTTCAAAGGCTGGAGCATAACTGGATATTTGGACATTATCATAATTTTTTCTAACTTCAGTTTTGTTATCTTACATTACATAAATTATTGTATCGTGAGATAAATTATTAACTCTTAAGCTGCAATTGCCTAATAAATGTTGCTACCTACAATACAACATGCCAAACTTGTTCTTCCACTTAACTACACAACTCAATATGAATTAAACTGTGTTCTGATTCGAATTTGTAATAATATTATTACTTGGATATATGTATTATGCAGCTCTTTTTAATTAATTTTCCTAGACGCTATATAATGTGCCACGTTGTCTTAGAGGGCGGTAGTTTTGGGAGATTATCAATAGTGTTTATAATACAAATGGTGAGGAAGCAGTTATTGTGTGAGAGTATCTCAACACATTTATCTCAAGTTGTGTTTACTGTGTTAAGGTGGCTGTAGGAAAACAAGAGGTTGGCGGTAGTGAAGCCTACGAGGCTTACATGACCTTGGGACCTGACACACTCTTCCGTCTCGCCGCTACCTTCAACAGGTGAGTGTCGCTCTTTCTCCCATAACATTATTGTTCTCAAGAACCATTCTCGTTTCCTTTGGAAAACACTAAGTCTCTAAAACATATTATATATTAGTATCATATTTATTTTAGGAAAACAGAACAGAATCAAGTTATTGAAGTGGATATATATATATATATATATATATATATATATATATATATATATATATATATTATATAATATATATTTTTGTTTATTAACCATAGTAATGGAACGGTGAGCGGGAGCGTTGGTCTGTTAAAGAGCGAGGTGAAGGTGTCTGGTGAACACAGCCGACCTGACCCTGACCACTTGCAGGGGTCAGCACAAGTGACCTTCACATTACCCTCAGGCCAAGCCTTCACATCTCACTTCAACCTCTCGCACTCCTTCGATGGCGTGACCCGGGACTTTAAGGTTAGTGTCCGTGGCTGGCAATGTCTCGCATGGCTATTAAGACATACTTGAAGATGTCTCTCTTGTGCATAACAGAGAAACATTTAAACAAAAGATGACGTTGTTAACATTCTATAACCTGTAAAAATTATATTAGGAAAAACATTTTGCGACAGGAAATATTGTTCTGAAATATTGTTCAGGACAGTCAAGTCCACCCCTCATTATCTGGATATTGTTAACACTGAGGCAGTAGTGGTGTGAACTACTTGAGTGACTCGTTGATGAAGGATGTTTCTGGTGGACCTTTATCTGTTGTATCTCTAGCTTTATAAAGGAATATTTAATTCTTTATTAGACGTATGAGTGTTGTAAGCGCAAGGTAGTTACCAGGACTTGGTTGGTGTTGGGTTTAAGATGAGTTTTCCTCTGCAAAGTTATTATGAGCACACCAGAACAGTTTACTGACTAACCAGCAAGAATACTTCAGCATGTATTCTTTATCTTTATTATCTTATCTTTATCTTTATTATCTTTAAGATTATTTTACTTTACAATTATCATTTGTCAAATTTTTTTATATATTCATCTTGACAGTCTCTACTGATTTTTTGTTCTCTCCACCAAACTTGTGTATCCTCCATGGCTATCTTGTGACCTTTATTCTGCCTCTAATTGTTTCAATTCTTTTGCTTACTTGCATTTATTGTTGTGTTTTGCCATAATTATTCTCTAATTTTAGCAGACTCAATACTTTGTAAGCTCTTATTGTATTGTTATATTAATATATTGTTGTGTTTTGCTATAATAACTTTCATTTACAGCAGATTTGTTTTCATCTGTTCCTGTAACTGCTTATCTTATTGTATCGTGACATTCTTATCTATATTGATATATATTATCTATCTATTGTTACTTACAGTGTACCTGAGAGTACTTGTAAACAATCTATCTACCTCATTTTTCATTTTTGCTCAATTTGTTTTTGTATTGCTTAGTCTTGTTTATATTTTTGTTTTGTATATCTATATCTTGTGTTTTGTATAGTCCATGTTTATATGTTCTTTCTTTAATCTCATTCATTACCTAGGTTGCCTAGCCTAGCCATACTCCCTTACTCCATTGTACCCCTGTAAGCCCCTTTTGTGTTTGTTTTGCACAGTATTGTGTACATTTTTTTTCCCCTATTTTATAGCTTATTTCTACCTTGTAATTTGCCTTTCTTTTCTTGTTTTTCCGGCAATCAGCTTTTTTTATGCAGTCAAGTATAGACCCAGAACTTAACCTCTTATCCACTATCTATGACAATAATCACTTTAATGATCTAAATTGCAGATATTTTGCAGCACATGATGTAAACAATGTAGTAACTCATAATCACAATATCTCTGTAATCAATTTGAATGTTAGATCCCTAGGTAAACACTTCGATGATGTTAGTGCCTTGATTGAAGCTATTGACAACAAATTCTCTTTTATTATACTTACTGAAACATGGTTGAAAGAGGATACTACTCAACTCTTTAACATGCCTAACTACTCAGCAATTCACAACTGTCGTCAACTTCAGAGAGGTGGTGGCACTGCTCTTTACTACCACCAAGAACTAACATGCTTAAAAGAAATTAGAACTAGAGACTGCTATGGGGAGTATATCTTCGCCAGCTTCAGAGTCAAGGGTGCCGAGTCTGTCCTGTCTGTGGGTGCAGTTTATAGAATTCCTAACACTGATGTGTCCGAATTCAACTCAAACCTTAGAAATCTAATACTTGATAACAGACTGAAAAAAACCACCTAATTATCGCAGGGGACTTTAATATTGACCTCTGCGAGCCAGAACACCCTACTGCTGTTAGCTTCCTCAACTGTATGAATTCCTGCTTCCTCATACCCTTAATCACTAGACCTACTAGAATCACTGATAGCACTGCCACGACTCTAGATCACATCTGGACAAACATAACCTCTCCGCTTACTTCAGGTATAATCACCGATAGCACTACAGACCATTACCCCACATTTCTCTTAACTAACATTAGCAAACCACCTCTTGAGTCAAGAGAGATACGTTTTAGACTACACAATGAAACTGCTATAGACAATTTTATAACTGCTACTGATAATGTCAACTGGGAGTCCGAGTTAGGTAACATAGAGGACATCAACCTAGCAGTTCAATCTTTTCTTCAAAAAACTCTTAGCCTTTATAATACCCACTGTCCTATGCTTACAAAACAAGTCACAACCAAAAGGCTTAACAATCCCTGGATTACAAAGGAAATACTTAAATCTATTAATAAAAAACATGACCTTGAGAAGAAGTATAGGTTAGGAATTGTCTCCAAAGAATTCTCAAAGAATTACTCACTATTGCTATCTAAGATAATTAGACGAGCCAAAACTAAATACTACGAAGATAAATTTACCCAAATAAAGAGCAACATTAAACAAACTTGGAGCACAATTTCACAAATATTGGGATCAAAGAAGTCTATAAATAACAAACCGACTCTCCTGTCTAATAACGATGGTCAGCTTTCAGCCTCTGATTCTGCTATTGAGTTCAATAAGTTCTTCTCTTCCATTGGTTCATCCCTTGCTAATGATATTCCATCTTCCAGTACTGACATTAACGACTATCTTACAGGTAACTATCCACAGTCTGTACCTAAAGCCTATTAATTCCACTGACGTCAATGAGATAATCCTTTCCCTTAAAACCAAGTCTGGTGCCCTTGAGGAGATACCAACTTTAATCTACAAAAAAGCCTCCAGATCTTTAGCCCCTGCTATTGCTTTGCTCTTCAACAAGTCACTTGAACTCCAAACCTTTCCAGATATTCTAAAAAAAGCGAGAGTAACCCCTGTCTACAAATGTGGTGATCTCACAGATGTTAACAACTACAGACCTATATCAATCCTGCCAAACTTGTCAAAAATTTTTGAAAAACTAATCTATAAGCAGCTTTACTCATATCTAGCCAAACTCAATATACTTAGCCCTTGCCAATATGGCTTCAGGCCCAAAAAAAGCACTAACGATGCACTTATTAGTATGCTTAACTTGATTCATACAGCTCTTGATAAAAATGAGTTCCCTGTTGGGTTATTTGTGGACCTGCGTAAAGCTTTCGATACTGTCAACCACCAAAACCTTCTTCTTAAATTACATCATTATGGTGTCAGAGGACACTCCCTACAATACCTCAAATCCTACCTTACTGACAGGCTCCAATGTGTTTCTGTGAATAATACAATTTCTCCCACCCTACCCATCAACATTGGTGTTCCCCAGGGCAGCATACTTGGCCCTCTCCTCTTTCTCGTCTACATTAATGACCTTCCAAATGCCTCCCAACACCTCAAACCAATTCTATTTGCTGACGACACAACCTTCATTTACTCCAGTCCTGATCCCCTTGCTCTAAATGCCACAGTAAATACTGAGCTTAATAAAGTCCATCTATGGCTAACTGCCAACAAACTCACCCTCAACATTGACAAAACTTTCTATATTTTGTTTGGCAATAAATCCTCTAATCAAATAAATCTCAAAATAAACAATACCCAAATTTGTAACAAATTAGATGGCAAATTCCTTGGCATTCTCATTGACCACAAGCTGAATTTCCAGGGACACATTCTAAACATATCAAAAAAAGTTTCAAAAACTGTGGGCATTCTTTCTAAGATCAGATATTATGTACCACGCCCTGCCCTGGTGACTCTCTATTACTCCCTTATCTATCCATATCTCAACTATGGTATTTGTGCTTGGGGCTCTACTACCCAAAATCACTTACGTCCTCTAATTACTCAACACAAAGCTGCTATTAGGACAATATCCAATTCTGGCCCCAGACATCACTCGGTACCCCTACTCAAATCTCTGAATATGTTAGACATTAAGTCACTGCACATTCTCTCATGTGTATTATACATATATAAAACGCTAAACTATAATTCCAATCCTGATCTCAAAAGCTTCATAGAAGGTTGTAACAGAACCCATGAGCACCACACCAGAAATAAATACAGTTTTGATATTCCTAGAGTACGACTTAATCAAACCAGAAATGCTCTACAAATCAAGGGGCCCAGAATGTGGAATGACCTTCCCAACCATGTTAAAGACTGTACCTCTCTCAACCAGTTTAAGTTAAAAGCGAAGCTATACCTAATAAATTCCCTGTAACCCACCTTACCTCTCTGTTATCAACCCATGTATGTTTTTTGTTTTTTTTTGTTTTTCAAATCAACGCTGTTTGAATGTAATTTTCTGTAATAATTTGTAATTGTATTTGTGCTGTTTTTTCAACAATGTTCCCCCCTCTTTTACCTCTATTTTTATTTGTACTCAACACATCTTATTCTTTTTACCCATTAGTTTTAAGCTTTAGTCATTAATGTTTTTCCTGCCCGAAACGCTTTGCGTAATAGTGGCTTTAGGCATTGTATGTACTAGCTCTATCTATAAAGCCAACAAACTTTGTAAAATCTCTTTATGTATGTACCTTACCTAAATAAAAATTATTATTATTATTATTATTATTATTATTATTATTATTATTATTATTATTATGTGTATGCACCGAGAAGCGGTATACACCTTACGGTCCATATATCCCTGGTATTTATCAGGAGAATGCGTTGACCCAGTACAACGATATATTATCACTACGAAAGGTAATGTCTCCTGTTGTTATGGTATAATGATGTCGTTTGTTATGTAACTTGTGCTATTGTCTGTATGGTCATATATTCAGCATTATGAGTAATGAGCATTATAGCTTTCTCATGTACAATGAGGTTACTTGTGTCCAGCCGTAGATTTTCTGTCCCTGTCGAAGCCTCAGATAAATTCAGGTAAATAATGCATAATTGCTGAGAGGAGTCACAATACCGTGGCTCAAGATATGATGACCAGACCACACACCAGAAGATGAAGAGACGACCACGTTTGGGTCCGTCCTGGGCAATTATCAAGTCGTGTGTGATAATGTATAATTATAATAATCAGT